AAGAAAGAAAAAGGAATAAGACATCCAGACTCAAAAGGAAGAAGTAAAACTGCAAGTGAAGGATAAATAAAAAACTTACTAGAACTAATAAAATGGGATGAACAAAGTTGCAGCACACAAGATTAACATACAAAAATCAACTGATTTATATATATATAAATAATGAACAAGTCTAAAATGAAATTAAGAAAATCCCATTTGCAACAGCATCAAATAGAACAAAATACTTACAAAATTAAATGCAACTTCAAATTGAAGATGCTCTGAGCATATATTAAAATAAACTGAAATCACACAGCATTTAGGAAAACCCAAGTAAAGTCAGGATTCCACTGTTCCAAGACTTACAATGGACGAAATTAAGAAATGGATGAAATTAAGAAATAGCACAAGATAATCCTCCCCTTTATGATTCTTCATCACTGCTAACTGGAGAATTCAAGTTTAAAAGATGACAGTATTTCTCTTCACCATTGCATACCAACAGACCTCGAAATTAATGAAAAAACATACTCACCTGTGAAAGGCACTCTGCTTGTATTAAGTTGTGACTCTTTGATTTACGACTGGTCATTTCAACAAACTGAAATACTTAAAAAAGGGAAAAATTAGTATGAATACAATAAAGACTTGGCTTAGGAGACTTTTAAAGAATTTATTATTAGACAATCAAAATAAATACAAATCTTAAAACATGAAAAAAAAATTCAACCTTAAAAAACTCTCAACGGTTCCTCTACTTGACGTTTTTCTATGACATTCCCAAGGCATACTTTACCTGGTGTTTTGAAGACAAGACAAAATTCTAACTACCGTTCCCTGCAATTTAATATTCACCTTCCCTTCCCTGTCTTCTAACAACCAAAACAAAACCTATGTGCTTCCAGTCATAGACTGTTTCTTACCACATCTATCCCAGTCTTCAATTACCGTTCCTTAACCATAGTCATTAAATACCAGATTAATTGCCTTCATCCACAAGAACACATCACTCCCTGTGTTTCCCCTTATCCATAATCAAACTATACTAAATGAAGTTGTTTAATTGTCAGAATCTCCCAAATGGGAATATTTCAAAATTCCAAGCATTTTAACACATACTGCCCAAAATAAAGTTAACAATGGTTAAGTGAAATGGAAATATATGTAATAATTAAAAATACATAGCTTTGTAAAATTCTTCTTGAGGGCAATTATACACACAAACCTTTGGCAAAAAAGTAATTTCCTCAGCACTAATTTCCTACAGGAGTACTTTATTAGTCAGGTAATAAGGCTTAAACAGTGTTTAAATTTATGTTCCAGGAGTTGTTATCTCATTTCATCTGCAAAATAGCACTGAAGCAGATTTTTTTTTTTTTAAAGATTTTTTTTTTTTCATGAATATAGAACTGGGGTACAGGCCAGAGGTGTGGGCGGTGAGAGGATTCACCAGACAGAGTGGGGGACAGAACAGGCCGACTGATAAAGTACACTACTAGGGGGAGCAGCTGACAGGTCAGGAGAGGTCTGCAGCAGCAGGTGGTCACCTCCAGGGCGGGGACTGAACTCATGCTGAAGTGGCTTTAGCTTCTTAGTGCTGTGCTTTAACCCAATGCACCACCAGGGAGGCCCCCGAAGCAGTTATTTTTAACACAACATAAATGGTGTGTAGGTAATAGCTAATATTTCACTGTATAACCTCCATAAAATTTGACCAAATTAAGCCTTACTTTTAAGATTAATTTAAACATAGCTTGTTCCTCCAATAGTCAAATCTCTATAATAAAGGATATTTAAAAAAACCAAAATTTAATAGATGAAAAGACAAGCTTCAGACTGAGAGCACAGCAAATCACATTTCTGACACATATCTTGCATAAATGTCAAAATTCAACAAAGAAACAAAACATTTTACCAAAGAGCGTACACGGATGGTAAATAAACTTACAAAATGAAGCTTAAACTCAGTAGATGTTAGGAAAATGCAAATTAGAAATAGAATATTAATACATACCCCTTGAGGACATCTAAAGTGAAACAAAGAAAACATCAACTGTCTGTGAATATTTAGAAAAATTAAAAATTTCTGGTGAAAACGTGAAATGGTAAAGTCACTGCAAAGTTTCATTCTCGCAATATTTTTTTTCCTTGCAAAACCAAACATACACTACCCATATAATACAGGAATTATTATTCCTGGGTATTAACCCAAATGAATGAAAACTTACATAAAAAGAAAAAGCTGGAATGTGAATTTTCATAACAAATTTCCTTGTAATGGTTAAACAAGTGGGAATAAACATCACATGCACAGAGGTCAAAGAAAGTCTAAAACACACATATACATAAAAATGGAAATGTGCCAAAAAGAAAAAAAAAAGGCAGTAACTCCTAAGACATAACAACTTGGGAGGATCTGGGGACATTATGTTTAGTAAAAAGAAAAAAAAAATAGCCAATCTAAAAAAACCCACATATTTAATGATTACACGAAAAAACATACTTGAAATTATAAAACAAGAGATGTATGTATGTGAGTTTCTGTATAGAGAAAGAGATATAGATATAAATACACTTTTATCTACATATATATGTTTATGGATGATAGGTGTATCATGCATATATTTTAATTTATGGCTGCAACTTCACTTTTGCAGCATTGTTACACAAAACGCAAATTGTTACTTCTGTGACATTTCAAATGGCATAGAAAATAGGTGCATTTTGAAAAAGGACTTAATATTAATTCGGTATAAATGCCAACTTGTATTACATTTAGTAAGAAAAATGTTGATTTAAATAATCCAAGTTGATGGCAAAGATTCTCAATCAATTCAATCTAATAAATATCTAGATAATTTTTACATATTGAAAGTACTAGCCGTAATATAAATAAAAGGTAGGGCTATATCCTCACGAAGCTTAAAATATTAACTAGAATAGTAAGTGAATATAAGAACAGAAAAACAGTTAAAGTACAAAACATTGCTGTGTAGTCATGGATTTAATATAGAAAGGTATAAAGTACGTAAGTCCACACTTTATAAGAGTGGAAATAAAGCAGAGATTTTAGATGAATTGACTAAGTTGACAAAGCTCACTTAGAACAGTATTTGTTAGAGCTAGTACACACAATTTGTGTTAATTTCAAATGACACACACAAAACCCCTTCAAGTATCAAGAGCCATAAAAATCTTCACTCCATGGTAATTTTATATTCTGTAACAATGAATGTATATGTCTATATACATTATAACATCCCACAAATATTTTCTATAATTAAGCGAGGAAATGCTATGATTATGGGGAATTTTTGTTTTAAGTCTGCTGACTGCATAGGCATGTGGCAGGGACTATCATCTGAACTTTGAAGCAAAATATAAACATCAATTATAACTCTAAATGCAATTAATTCACTGTATTCTATTTTTCCCAGCAGAAATAATTATACACAAATTACAGATATCACATTTTAGTGGGTTGTGAAAAACGTGTCACTTACTTTTCAGGGTCCTCACCTTACCCAATTCTATAGGAACATCATGTAGCATTGTAATCAAATATCTAGGGATTACAATTGCCATGAGGTGAATGTAATCTTTGAAGTATGGGTTCCATCCCAGGCTAGGGGCTAGTCCACATGGCGCAGCAGACCTCTCATGTCTCACTGCTGCTCCCCCAGCAGTGTATCTCAGTCAATTTGCCTGTTGTACTGCCCACTCTTGTCTCCTGTGAATCCCTGCCCCAACTCCCACACCTCTGGCCTACACCCCAATTGTTTGCATATATAAACAAAAATAAACCTCAAAAAAAAAAAAAGCAGGAATGAAACTGCTCTGTGAAAGAAATTTGTGGTCTATGGAACGCATATTTTAAAAAATATTCCATCTCTGACTTTGTAAGAGATCACATATTACCTATAAATTCATATATGTACCCAAAAAACATATTTATAACCAGGAGTTTCTATTCTATTAATAGATATTCCTAGAAAGAGTATGAGTTTTATACCCATTTGTTAAAAACATCATTTTCAAATCAGTACTTAAGAACTAACTCACAAGAGTGAAGATAAAATTTGCTAACGGAATTCTTACAAAAACGTTTTTAAAATTAGAAGTTAAACTGCTCTTTTGGGGGGAAAAATATCCAAAAGCAGAGGCAAGTAATACTTTGTGACGATAACTCGTTAAACCAAAAAAAAAAAAAAAAGTAGTATGACTCCTTCTGACAACTAAGGAAAAACCTGAAAATTAATTAAATATCATTATTGGGACCTCCCTGGTGGCACAGGGGTTAAAATCGCAGCACTATCACTCTTTATTTTGCCTATCACTCAGCAGTCTATTTCAATAAATCTAATTTTCTGTTCCCCACTCTGTTTCTGGTAAATCCCCCACACCTCTGGCTTACACCCCAGCACTTATATGAATAAATAAAAAAAGAGTTAGGATCTCCTTGCAGGTGCAAGGGGTTAGTTCTCAGCACTGCTCAAGCTATTACCAGCCACTGAGGCATGGGTTCCATCCCGAGCCAGGGAGCTAACACACAAGGCAAAGCAGACCTCTCCTGTCTTGCTTGCGGCTCCCCTCAGCAGTGTATTTCAGTAGATCTACCTGTTCTATACCCTACTCTGTCTCTGGTGAATCCTTTCAACCCCATTGTACCTCTAGCCTACACTCCAGCTCTTGTATGTATAAATAATAAATCTTTTTTTTAAAAAAAGCTAAAACAAATTCTACCATTGTTTATTTATGTCTAAATCTGCATCACTGATGCTATTCAAAGAAAATAACAAAAAGTTACTTTCCTTTCTTCAGTTAGAAAAAAATTCTTATTGCAACAATCAAATGATGTAAAATAAAAAGTATTTTAGGGGACATCTATGGGTGGTTTCCATGTTTGTTATTGTTCATTGAGTGAAAATGAAGTTGAATATATTTAGCTATGTTTTTACAAGCAGAATTAGTTTTCACATGTCTCTTCAGTTGGAGTATCTGCAGCAAGGTAAAAATTAAAAACCACTTACAAGAAAGGTTGAAGGTGAGAAAAATAAAGAGAAAAACTGATGTAAATTTTCTAAAAACATACAAACATACTTCTAAGTACTTCCTAATCAGGCTGAAAATATCAATGAAATTATGTGACTTTAGTAAGCTGGGGCAATATCCAGTGAGATGTTCACTTGCAGAGATATTTCTCTGGAGCTGAAGCATTAATTCCATGTAAAATAATTGCTTCATGTGTTTTTCTAGATAAATTTTTTCACAATAGAATAACTGCTAATCACTAACAATTTACAAAATATTTTCTTCTCATTTGTTCCTAGTAAGTACAAGGAACAATATATCTAGCAAAACACTCATGACAAATATATCCAAAGTCTGATAATCCTTAATCTAATCATATGAAAATATATTCTCTTTAGTGATATTAAAATGAAGGAAAATATTTCATAACAGCTAATAGAAAAAAATGGATCAAATAATTCCTATCAAAAGGCTTGAAATTTTCCAGAAAAGCTATGCTTTCTCATATGAGTTGTCATTAATGCACAGCAGTATACAAGAACCATACATACACATGATTATTTACCATGGGGTATCTA